GAGCCACCCAGGCGCCCCCATGTCCAGTATCTTTGTAACAAATGCTTCCCTTACCATTGACTTTTGAACCATGCAAATAGGTTAAAATGTGTTCAAATATTAAATTAACTTAAGGAAACTAACAACTCTGGTAGTATGCCTTTGACATTCCTTTTTCAAAATATGTTTGCATGGTTCAAAAGTTAAAGCAATATAAGTTTTCAAAGTACAGAGAAGGCTGAAATAGTGTAGGTAGCGAAGTGCAGATGAGTGCTTATAATGTGTGATTTTTTGGATACAAATTTAAAATTTCTTAGCTTCCTTAGTTCAGTCTCTTACTTGCTTTAAAAACTTGAATGGTTCCATATTCCCTTCTATAGCGAATTTAACTGTCCTTTTGGAGTTTCAGTACCCTCTGCATTATGTTCTCCATAACCTACTGCACATAATTCTCTACAGGGACTTTCGTCTCTGACCTGTCCCTGCTCCCACCTCTTCTTCGCCGCCATTTTCCACAACCACCTGCTCTTCTTTCTCTTTCTTAGCTGAACACGGCGTATACTCCCCTCTTGTTATCCAAGCTAAAGAAGAACTGAAGTGCTGAGTGTGACAAGAAACCTCCCCCGCTCCCAGCTCAGTCCTCACTGACTCTTCTTCTTCTCTGAATTCCCACACCACTAAGAATAGTCATCGCATAACCCAGACCATTTGCCACACGTCCTTGGAAACTTTTTTCTCTACAGATTTTCTAATTCAATGGAAGATAAGATCTCCTTCAAGGTCCTCAAAGTGCTTAACACTCTGTAAAAATGAATGCATAAAACCTAATTATTTTTTAAGCTTTTATTTATTTATTTGAGAGCAAAAGAGACAGAATAGTGACAGAGATAGCGAGAGAAAGAGACAGCACGAGTGGGGAGGAGAGGGAGAAGCAGGCTCCCCACTTAGCAGGGAACCCGACGTGGGGCTCGATCCCAGGACCCTGGGATCATGACCTGAGCCGAAGGCAGTCACTTAATCGACTGAGCCACCCAGGAACCCCAATAAAACCTAACTAAATGTGTGTATCTCAGTTAAATGTGTGCTTACATACATGCTAATTTGCAAAGCTATTATTAGACATCTCAATTGCATTTTCTTCTCAAAATTACCACGAAAACCCTCAACCCTGTATAGACCAGTGTGTTTTCCTAATAACAATACAGGATGGTATGTTAGAAATACTTGAAGGGTACCAATGAGAAAGCCTTTGAGTGTTTCTTCGAACGACTGTATGACCCTCCTGCAAATCACTTAGCCTCTCTGAGCCTCACCTTTTTCCAACTAAAGAAATGGGGATGTGCCCACTTTACTGAGCTGTGCTAAGAATTAAATAATAATGCATGCAAAATTCTTAGTGTACTTCTGGGAACATGGTAAAATCTCAAAACATGTTAGGAAATAAAGAGCCTATTGGATGGGAGAGGGGATTTTGAGCATGAGAAAAAAAAAATCAGGACTAAGAAATCAGTGGTTTTGAGCTTGTGTGACTAGTGCTTGTCACAAAATAGGTAAGTCAGCCCAGTTAGGTCAAGAGGGGGTACAGGGCACTAAGTTAGGACAAGGTAATGAAATTTATCTTATGTGTATGAACATAAGACCAAATAGATCACAAGATCTTTTGGGCTGTAGACTTACAGAACTTGTTACAGTGTGTGAGACACAAAGGTCCATGATAAAGTCTGTGAATATTGTCAAAAGCATGGAAAGTTTTTAAAAAATCAATATGTTATACCCAGGAGTGCTTCTCTACATTTTTGATCTTTCCAGTTTCCCTTAGATTTGTAACCTTATACATCTTACAATTCGTAGAAATTCTGTGTATGTGTTTACCCAGACAACTTAATTTAACATGCTTTAGTGAGCATCTATTAAGTGTCAAGCACTGTGTGGCAAAGTCTGATGGTGATGGTAGGAGAGATGGTATTCAAAGAAAATAACAGACTTTGTCCTTCAGGATCTCACAGTTCAAGGATAAAGGAATTGTATGAATAATACAAAATAGACCCTTCCATAATAGAAGAAGCTCAAGATGCCATGGAAGTTTAGGGGCGACTTATTCTAATTAGTTAGAAGGGAAATCAAGAAAACAACACACGATGGAAAATCTCAACTGATATTTAAGGGAGGCCAAGGAAGCTGAGGAAAGGGTCTTTGGGCTGGGGGAAGTGTCTGGAGTATGGTCTGATAAATAATCCTGGATCAATGAATTGACAATACAGGGAGAAGGCTGATCTAGGAAGAACGGTACAATCTGTGACTGTGGAGGACATACCAGATTAAGGAGGCAGATTTATTCTGAATTCAATGGGAGTGTTCCAAGGTTCTTAATTAGAAGAGTGATGACTGATTTGATAGCAGATATAAACAGGTTATACAGGCAATAGGAAAAATGGAACTAGGGAAAGTAGATGTGAGTTTTTTTTATGATCTCATTTCTATTAACTTTTGAAGGTTTACAGTAGTTAAGTATTTTTGATTCTATGGACAAAGGTTAAAAAAATCATTTTTTTAAATAAAACTTAAGAGCAACCAATTTCATCATCAAGTAAAAGTAAAAACTGGGATTCTTTTCTAAATTAGCTCAAAGTGGCATTTTAGGAACTTAGTTCTAGGCTGTTGCACTGATGCCACCACAAATCAAAGTGCAGGATTGGGTCTGATTTTGTTTTGGTTTTCTTTTCAGTATCCAGTGCTCATGGATTACGTTCTGGAAATGTTCCAATTGTAAGGCAGGGATCTGTTTGGATTCCACCACGGGTATGCTTCTTGGGTTGGATGCTGGAGGGTGAGGCCTATTTTGCCAGATCCATGTCGACTACCTAGTAGTCATCAAGGTCAAAAAATTCATCTTCTCCTTGGTATTCCATTCTCTGGAAATCTACTCAGTACTGCAAGATAACCTCCAATTCCACCAAATCCTTTCACAACCTGAGATCCTTCCTGTGACTTACCTGTGACAATTTCCAACGTAGCACCAAAATTTTTTTATAGTTGTCAGCAAACCATTCCAGCAGGAGCGTGCTCTCAACCAGCTTATGTTCTTGTCCTGTCTCTTTGTCTGCGAAATGAGATTTATCCTTCTTTTGTTCTAGAGTTAGATAATTTTCTCCTCTTCTGTGCTTTGGCAATGAAGGCTGTATCTTATTAAATGCAGATTTTCATAGACTATTAGAATCTCTACAGCTTCCATTTCTAAAGTCTTTAGAATGTCTTCAACTCCAAAACAGTACTTGCCCGTGTCCTAGCTGATTTCATCAAAATCTTGAATGAATTTCACGTCTGAGAGGACTTCAGTAGATAATAGCTTGGTTGAATCCATTTCACAACCATAGGAAATATTAACTAATTTTAAAACTTTTGATTGCAACCTCTGATCAAACATATCAGATTGATTTAGTTCAGTTTTAAAGTCAGCTGATTCAGCTAAAACAAGACCAGTCATATTCACTTTATCCCCAGAAATAAACAGCTGAACAGAAGCTCAGCTACTTTCTGAACATAGTTATGTCGTTTTTTCACTTTTTTTTTTTTTAAGATTTTATTTATTTATTTGAGAGAGAGGGAACACAAGCAGGGGGAGTGGGAGAGGGAGAAGCAGGCTTCCTGCAGAGCAGGGAGCCTGATGCGGGGCTCGATCCCAGGACCCTGGGATCATGACCTGAGCTGAAGGCAGATGCTTAACGACTGAGCCACCCAGGTGCCCCTCGCTTTTTCACTCTTAAAAAGGCAAAAACACAAGGCTGACTGACCTCCTCTACCATGTTTCTTTGGGAGATCCACAGCGCATTTGTGCAGGACTTCTCTTGTGTTTCCTTGGAGTGTGCCAAAAAGTGTACCGCTACCATCTATTACAATGAAGCCAAACTTGCTGTCATCCAAGAGCAGTGCTGTGAGAGCCTCTGTACGGAATTTGTTGTCACACAAATACAGTGACGTATTAATTGGTTTGAAAGGTTCAAAGTCAAGGTCGACTTTCTTTTCCTTTCCTTCTTCTGTTACAATTGTACCACAGTAAACAACCAGGCCACTTAGAGGTACTCTGTTATGAAGTTTGAGTCTTTGTTGTAGAGATGTAATGGTTTCCAGGACTGAAAGGCAGTTTATTTGTGACTTAATGTTAGATGCAGTTCCAGACTCACCTGCTAACGTTTTTGCAACTGGTGAAATCTGGTCTTTGGGAGGAATGCTCAATTCTATCATGCTTGTGCCACTGCTGCGGGCCGCCTCTAAGCTCTTGATGAGCTTCTTGACCTTCCAGATCTCCACATTACTGTCGGCAGCACTGGGGTCATCCACCATCTCTCCTCCCTAAGGGTCCAGTCCGAGGTGGCAGGGGCTGCTCCTTCCTGGCGGCGGCTCTGAGATTTTTTTTTTACAGATTTTTATTTATTTGAGAGAGAGAGACCGCAAGTGAGCAGGGTGAGGGGCAGAGGGAGAAGGAAAGTGAGAATCCCAAGAAGACTCCAAGCTGAGTATGGAGCCTGACATGGGGCTCAATCTCATGACCCTGAGATCATGATCAGAGCCAGAACCAAGAGTCAGACGCTTAACCGACTGAGCCACCCAAGCGCCCCTAGATGTGAGATTTTTACAATCATATGCAGGTGGATATATATTAAGGAACTGGGGGAAAGGAGAGGAAGAACCTGTGAAACATTCAGAAAAAAAATGTTTACAGGATTAGATATAGGATGGGGTATGAGAGGAAAAACAACTCAAGATGACTAAGGTTTTGAATTTGAAGAACTGTGGCTATTACATTCTATGAGGGAGGGAACACAGGAAGAGGAACCAGTTTGCAGGGAAGGGCAGAATAAGAAAAGTAATTCTGACTGGGAAATACTGAAGGCAGAGAGAAAGTGTTTGTGGAGCGCTGACCATGTGCCTGACCCAGCAAGGTCCTCTTCCGCACATTATCTCACCTCAGCCTGGGGAGGGGGTGCCTGGGGGGCATCTCTGTCGAGTTGTCGAGCTTGTCCATGGCGAGATATAAGGACTGTGGCTCTGAAGAAAGGTAATGGCTGGAAACAAAGACTGGATTTCCTCACAACACAATTCTCCAGGAAAAGCAAGTTAAGTGAGAAAGAAATGGGGAGCAGACTCAAGGATAATCCAAAGCATTTTTTTTTTTTAATTGGAAAGGACATCTGCTTTTTTTATGAACTCTGACCCCTGGATCTTCATTAAAGTTTGTTTGAGAGAACACTGTTTCTTGGTGTCAGCTTCATACCCACCCTTATATATTCTCTCCTGAACCATGACGCCTAGAAGGGTGAAGCCTGTGTCTTCTCAAACTGTATTAGCAGCTAGGTTTTGCCATCGGGAGGCGTAGAAATAGGCTTAAAAGTTGGGAGAAGCCGTTTTGTTTTGATGGTGGCTCTGGCAGTTTCAGCAGCGGTGGTAACTCAGGGCAGGGGCAACTGTGCTGGTTGGAGTGTGGGCCCCAGGGTTTTGGGCAGAACCCCCTTCCTCCTTTTGTTCCACTGGGCCTTATCACAATTTTGTAAACAATTCCTTGTGTGAAATGCTCCGCTGTTTAAAATACCTAGAGTGGGGCCACCTGGGTGGCTCAGTCGGTTGTGTCTGATTCTTGATTTCGGCTCAGGTCACGATCTCAGGGTCATGAGATCAAGCCCCATATCAGGTTCTGTGCTAGGTGTGGAGCCTGCTTACAATTCTTTCTCCCTCTGCCCACTCCTTCTCAAGTAAATAAATAAATAAAAATAAAATTAAAAATTAAAAAAAATACCTAGAGTGATTTTATTTATTTATTTTTTAAAGATTTTATTTATTTGACAGAGAAAGAGGCAGCCAGAGAGGAAACACAACCAGGGGGGAGCAGGAGAGGGAGAAGCAGGCTTCCCGCTGAGCAGGGAGCCTGATGGGGGCTCGATCCCAGGACCCTGGGATCATGACCTGAGCCGAAGGCAGATGCCCAATGACTGAGCCACCCAGGCGCCCCCTTAGAGTGATTTTAGTTATAGAAACTGACTGATACCATATACAGGAAAAATGTAAGGCTAGAAACAATCTCACCTAACCTTTAAAAACTGGACTGTACAGAGGATAAGATCAATAATTTCAATTTTAAAAAGAAAAGCAACAGGAGGTGACCAAACAAATGTGACCATATTCCAAATTTCCTTATACTAATGGCCATGAAACTCCAAGCTTATTCAATGAATGCGCTTTGAACAAAATGATTTAACGGAGTTAAAATAATGAAATAAAAGTTTCCAGAAGGTGCTCTTGGTGAAGAAACCTAGAAGGAAGCCAGAATGCACTACAGGAAGAGATCATTGCATTTCTGTGCCACAGACCGACTCCAAACCAAGCCACATGATCCTCAAGTGCACTGACAGTTTACCACAGAGCTGAACAACACACACCCAAAGGGAAACCAGTAATTGAACATGAACTAGCTATTGGTACAAATAATTATTATTATAATAAAAATTACCCAATTTATAGAGCATTAGCCATATACCTAGCAGTATACAAAGCACTTAGCATATTTCTTTTCATTTCATCTTCAAAATATTTTATAAGGCTGGCATAATTATTTCCCTCACTTTAGCCCCAGATGAAGAAACCAAGTCTTAGAGAAATTCAGTAATTTGCCCAAGGTCATACAGGTAGAAGTGGGTAGAACATGAATAATTTGCAATTTTAGAGAATGTACACTTTCTAAAGAAAGAAGAAATATTGAGAAAAACAATGCCTGACGGACTGAGTAAACTGGCCTTAAATTACTATTAAGTCAGAAAGAAGGCATGCTACATTACAATTTTGGGACATAAAGAAATTGTTTTTGAGAGAGCTATTCAAAGCTAAGATGCCATGTGAATTGTGCAAAATACATAAAATTACCTCTAACCAAAAATGTCAGGAATCTGCTTTTTTAGAATAATCTATGCTATTTCTTCTCCAATTGGCCTAGGACCACTCTCTTAGGGAACATTTCAATGACAAAGAGATTGTTTCTGAATGTGGCTGGGGAAAAGCCATCACTGCAGGAGGAAGAGAAATACAGTGTTCTTTCCCTGAAGAATAAAAAAGTACTAAAATCTTTCCAGGCAGGGCTATGCATTATGTGAAGCACTGACAGGGAATATAAATGGAGTCTAGAAGGGAAAGGGGACTGAATTTAAGGTGACCTAATTCCTGCTGGAGTTTTATTGATTGAACACTGCCATATAGAGATTTAAAGTCATTTTCATCCTCATTCATATAGTGCATATGACTAGACATAGATACATCCCAAAACACGTATTTAAGTGAATATGTGTTTTCATATGTGGGAGAGTAGTTATCTGACTGGGATAAGAAGAGATGAGGGGACAGAAATGTGGAAACTGGGGGCAAAGAGGAAGTGCATAATGAGAGAAGATAAGAGGAGAGAATCAAGGGCTATTCCAGAGGCATCGGGGAGCCAGCATAACGTTTCTTTACACAGTATTGTTCAGTTTGCAAACTAATGTGCCATGTGATTCTAATTTATGAGCTATGTACTATGATTTTTCTAACGATCACAGATAAATGAAAGTGAGCTTCACAGCAGCTCAACGGTCTTCCGGGGGTCTCAGAGCTTTTGAGAACTAAAGCTGGGGCTTGGGACCCCAGAGCTGGCCCTTTTTGTCCTTGAAAGCCAAATCTGTGAACGTAAATGAAGAATCTGAGGACAAATCATGTCACTTTTATGAAATACGGATTTAAAAAAATGTAAACACATTGGGATCTCTAAAAGGTTTTCTAAATGTTTGGAAGAACAGTTAAATCAGAAATGACTGTGTACCTCACTACTGATAATCCAGCTCCAACATAATTCAGCACCGGTTTTGATACTTCTTCTGCATCCATTCCAAACCAGCCAAACCTGTAATTGAGAAAGTTACATCAAAGTAGGTACTTTTGAAAATGTCTTCATCGTAGTGTTCAAGAGCATGGACTCAGGGTCAGATTCCTGGATTCAAATCCTAAATCCCTCTCTTACTAATTGTGACTTGAACAAGTTAACTCTTTACCATACCTCAATTCCCCAAGTTTAAAATGGGGTACCTATAAGCTAGGTATAATTAGTATACATATATATCCCTTCCTTTTTATGAAGATATTTTAAATGAGTTAGTATATGTAAAAGTACTTGTGAGTGTCCCTTTCTGATTAAGATAAAGGAAGAAGGAAGGCAAAATAGATTAGTGGGTAAGTGAATGCTAATTAATTGGATGCAATTTTGTATAGTATTTATTGAGACAGACTTTTGAGTAACTGCTTGGTTAAGGATCACTTTTTGCATCACCTTATATATACATATTTTTTCATGCCTTGACATTGTAGCAATTGTTACTAATAATTACTGTGAACCATTCAGGGCAAGAATGAAAGAGGCAAGTAGAAAAAGCAAAAGAAAATAGCACTTGTAAGAAGCTGGTGGAAGCATGGGGAAAGGCCAGGAAAGAACAGATTGGAAGTTAGTTCATTTTGTCATTACTGAGGTTGTTACAATGCTTTGAGAGGGAAGAGGAGCCCAAAAAGTAAGGTAAGAGTGACATCCTCCCTTCTACTCCTCTTCCCCAAACTCAACTTGAATGTTAATTTTAATGCTAAACAAGGGCAGCATAGTCAAATAGAAGTTTCTACTTCTATTTGATGGGGGGTCTTCTACGGTGCACTGTTTAACAGGGTAGTTTCTAGCCATCTATGGCTATTGAGCACTTGATCTATGGGCAGTACAGTTGTGGGACTGAATGTTTAATTTTATCAAATTTTATTCATGTAACTTTAAATATAAATGGACACCATGTGGCTTGTGGTGACCCTGCTGGACCCACCCTAGAGCTGGAGTTGGCACACTTTTCCTTAAAGGGCCAGAGAGTAAATATTTTAGGCTTTGTGGGCCAGATGGTCTCTTGCAATTACTCAATGCTGCCACTGCAGTGTAAAACGGCCAGAGACAATATGAAATGGATGGGTTTGGCTGTGTTCCAATAAAACTTTATTTACAAAAATGGCTGGGAAGGTGAGCCATGTTTTGCTGACCCTGGCCCAGGCTCCAGGAAGAATATGTGCTTTAGAACTACAAGACCTGTGTTTGAAGCCTAGCTTATTCATTCTGTGATATTCAGCAAGTTACCCAATCTCCCTGTGTTTTAGCTCTCTTATAAGGTAGTGCTTACCTCATGTTTGTGAAAATGAGAGGAGAATGATGCATAAAACACGTCCAGCAAATTGTCACACAATAAAAAGGGAAAATACACATTAGTTCCCCTCCTCTCTTCCTTCTTCCGGGCCAAGGAGATAATTCCTTACTGTACCTTAACCAAATATCTAGATCAGATATTAGAATTTAGGGCAAATAATAATTAAAAGTAGCATATTTCACATGTATGTCTTACCAGCTGTAATCTCTGTGAGGGTAAAAACCAGTATATCCCTCTCAGCAAGCCCTAGGACTTGCCTTACATCAGTGTAGAGAATCTTAGTTGAAATTGTTTTGTGTTACCTTGAGCTTGCCCAGCCAGTTAAGGTATTAAATGATCCCCAGATTAAGATTCCAAGGCCTAAACCAATGGTTTTGATAATTGGGACAACAGCAATGTTCCCTGGAGATGTAACATACAGAAAAAAAATGTTATTTCTAATACAAAAATACATTTATAAATTGAATTAATTTTTAACTTCAAATGAAGCTTATGGGATTTGGACAAATTTAGGAAAGCACAATTCCTCAGTTTTTAAATAAAAGAACTACATTTTTTTTGGTATTTAACTCAGGTTTATGATTGCTAAAAGAACTAGGCATAAGACAAAATCTTAACAAAGAAAAATGATGAATTAGCTCTTTTCCTAATTGCACCAATGCTCTTTATCCTTAATATAGGTCTCTATTCTATAACTTTTTGCAGAAACTGTCAATGATAAAATTAGTAGTGACTGTCCTCTTAGACTTGAACCCCCAGAGCCAAGCACTGACAGAAGTCTTTGACCCAGTATGGCCCCAGACTTTGCTCTTCCATGCTCATTGACTTATCTTCTAGAACGCTGCATTCATTGCTTTGTGCTCTGAAAGGTCACTCAAGGCCAAATGCATGATTTTTTTTTATAGTTCTTAACCTCTTAGCAGTCTGGCCTCAGTCCTGCAATCTTCTCTGGAAAGGTTTCCTCTGGTGGCTTCCAAGATGCCTTCATTTCCTGATTCCCTCCTGTCTCTCTCTTTTATGGCCTACTCTTTCTTGTCATACTCTCCAGATTTAGGTGCCCCCTAAATATTTTCCCTTCAACACATTCTTCCTCTTGCTATATATAGTCTTCTTTGGGCACTTGACCTAATTTCAGGATTTCAGCTGTCAATTACAGACACATGCTCCCAGTGCCACTGCTCTAGCCAGGACCTTCTCCAGAGTTTTAGTGCTCTGCTCCCACCAAGAGATCTCTAACCAGATGTCCCACACTGTGGGAAAATCAGGAACTTCAGTCTCAAAAGGTCCCAAACTGAACTCATCATTTTTCTTTTTGGACACATACTTCTCTCTATTTTCATCACTCAATGATAAAATCCTTACATCATCATTGGCTGCTCCCTTTCCTCTACTCCCCATCTCCACTCAGTTACTATGACCTATAGCATCCATCCATAGCAACATTTCTCAAATTACAGCCCTCCCCCACTGAATCCCAATGGAACCTGCTGGGTAATTATAAATACTATAGTTGTTATAAAGATCTGTAGGCTACATGGAGCTTTCTGTTTCCCTCTCCCCAGTAGACATGATAAGCATAATCATACCAAGGTATAAGTGAGGTATAGTAATTTAAATCCCAGTGGAAATTTAAAAGTGAACTCTTTTGTCCTCCAAGTCAGGAACTTCACTAAATCATTTAATTCTGCAGAGATTCAAATTAAGTGGGTACCCAATAAGTTTTTCACATTTTAAAATTTATTTGCTTTTAATCAAATTAACCTCTAAAAATCCTTGATACTTGGAATTCTTTTTGCTAAATAGAACAAAATTCTCCTGGGATATATTTTATATTAATAGAAGGAAAACCATCCTGACCAGCCAAACAAAGGTATAAATTCCAGTTATATAATTCTAGGTATTGATAAAGCAACAGAGGGAAGATATTTGTTTGCTTTTGTTTTTTTGCCAGTGCTTTTGAAATGACAATGTGTCTGTTTTCCTACTTTCAAGGATAAGTCTTAAATATTATATTAGTAGAGACTACTATTTAAAAAATATTTTCTGATTAACATAGAGAAAGAAAGGCTGGAGCACTTTAATATATAAGTTATGCTTGAACAGATAGAGAGCAACTGAAACATTTTTGCTATAATTTTCTATCAGTAACTAAGAAAGAAATCATTAAGAGGAAAAAGTCAGGAAATGTACCCAAAATATTTATCGAGCATCTGAATGAAAGAAACTAAACTAATTTCTAGTATCTTTGCCTAAGGATTATTCAGAATTGCTGTTTGTGCTATTTCCTTTTATTAGGAACCAGTTATTTTGATCATAGTATTAAATGATTACAGAATAAATTATATCATGCATTACCTGTTGCCCAAATGCAGCCCCCAACCATTGCAAAAGGCCAAAATTTAGGGCAATGTAATATCAGATTGACCACCAGGGCAATCAACCATATGGCAGCACAAAGCACCCACTGGAGAAACATTCCTGGAAATAAAAGAAATTGGTTTCTGTGGTTCAGATTTGAGTAAATTAATGCTTAAGAGTATCAAAGAGATGTTATTATAGGAATGGTCACAACTTACTGAATGCCTATAATGCTGGTACTTTGCACACTTACTATAATTTTTACAACTACTATGAATCATAGTCAACCCTAGTTTAAGGACGGAGAAAATGAATGTGAGATGAAGCAACTTGTCTCAAGAGCTAACGGTTTGTAGAAACCTATGCTGTTTACTCCAAAGCTTGCCAAGCATAGTGCATTCCTGGTTAACGTTCTTTTGTTTGTTTCACTAATTAAACAAATCTAGAATTTTCTACCGAAGAGTACTGGCAAGACCAAGTCTATATATTTGTATTTGAATGCCACACCGAGTGCCATCTCTCACCAAAACACGGCATTAAGAACTTCAGAATAGCATAGTAGTAATTTAAACCTTTCGGGATCATTTATGCCACCTTCGGGATAAAAACAAAGCCACTTATGGCCACATGTAGACCTCTCACACTTAGAGTTGAATGCCTGTGATGAGCCAGACAGTACAAACCCGAGAATTAGCATTCTGGGTCAGGGCATTCTTCTTTCTGGGCTCCGGGTTGCCATTTGCCAGTTAGCTGAAGATGACATGGTGATATGAGGTCTATCTGTACCTGAGGCTTCTGTTCCATCAAGGGGTTTAGGGATTAAAAGATTAAAGAAAAAGTCGATATAGGAAGAAATACTAGGGCAGGTATAACTCAGTGTAGCACTTCTGAGTCTACCTGTGGGAGGTTTTTGCCTATTTCAATTCAATCTCACGGTGGAGGAGAGAAAAAAAAAATGGCTGTTAGCCTCTAGGACAAAAAAGGAAGATCACAGAGATGAAAGCGAACTTCATCTTACAAGTTCTTCATTTTACAAATGAGAAACTGAGAACAAAAGCGCTGATGAGACTTGTCTAGGATCACAGTTGTTGAGAGACACCTAAAAGCCAGTTCCTCTACCCCTTAGTATATATTTTGTTCTTTTAGTAGTTTCCACATCCATCCTAACTCCAAAGAAAAAGAGAAGAAAGGCTCTGGAAGAAAAAGATTTGTAATTCTATTGTTGAAGTAGTAGCAAGATATAAGGAAATGAGGTGATAAAGTAACTGCTTCCCACCAGGTGTTCAGCATAACATTTGAGCATCTTCTCCTGGCTATCCTATTATAGGCAGGTGGATTAAAAACCAAAAACCAAAAACCAAAAAAAACCTCTTGCTTCTCTTTCCCTGAAGTTCACATGATGGTCACGTCAACTATAATGTGCCACGTGTGTTCCTAAAAGCACCGCACTTTGCAAAATCATGTAATAAAAACCACAGAGTTTTTATGGGGAAAAAGGGAACAATGCTCAAAAAACATTTCATCAACAATGTATTTTAAAAAAAGACAGGAACCTAATAAAAAAAAGAGACAGGAACCTAATTTTAAAAAAAGTACAGTTTTACACTGGCTAAGTGGTTAAGAAATTCACAAGCATTACAATAAATATGGCACCGCAACCTGAAAAAGACTGGAAGGTTGCTTATGGGAGTGGGCATCAGAAGTGTGGCAGCTTGTGAGCTATTGTGAAGCTGGTGGATGGGGGGGATCCTAACAGCAGACGTGAACAGGTGCGGTGCTGAGGGAGCTGCGGGACGTTGAGGGGTGTGTGTGTGCAAGCGCACCTCGTGCTTTCCCATGCATCTTTATTCAACTGGGCGTGGTGATCTGTGCTCACCTAGAGCTGTACCAGTCAAAATGGCACATAAACACAAAATTCACGTTGTGCTCAAACTGTTCTCTATTATATGAAGCATATTTGAAATTCATGTTTTCAAAACAAGTGTATATTAGTAGAACTAACTTTCTTCTTTTGTAAACATAACAGGTAAGGCTAATAAGCTTTCCTGATAGTCACTCTCCCAGCTTTACCATGAAACACAACCTTAAGACTATTCCATACTGAATAAATCTCAGATAAACTGGCATGAGCATTATCGAATGATTTATCATAAGCTCTATTCATTTGGCGCCAGGTACAAGAAAATTTGTAGCCGTCATTAAAAAAAAAAAACAACACCAAAAAAGAGAACTTCACATTTAAAAGTAATTTAAAGTTAACCATGAAGGAAAAATAATTACCATCACCAGTATCGTATTTTTTAAGTGGCACAAAGTTTGAGCCGAACAAAAGGACAGCTACAGAAGAGGAGATGAAACCAATGGTTAGGTCTGTTCCATTACTGCTCATGGTTCCAGTACTGTCTGAGAGTGAGCCGGTTCACTTTACACTTGATGTCCTTTTCAAGAGCTTCTGAAATAAAAGAAAAACAAAACCATTAAGAAGTTGTGCATCAAAAACTACTGATGTAATGTATGGTGATTAACATAACATAATAAAATAAAAAAAATGCAAAATAAAAAAATAATGATAAACTAAAAAAAAGTTGTGAATCTGTGAACAAACTGATTTCTACGTGATATTTATTGAGCTTTTTGAAAGTATGCTAAGATTTCTTCTTCCAGATAAAAAGTTAGGACACTATGAAATTATGTATTATGTTCACACTCCATGTTTATTCATTTGTTTTTTCTTTTATTTTACCAACAAATAGTTTTTGATCATTAATCTACAATTTATAAAAAAAAAAACTTTGTCTTCAGAGCTTGAAAACCTAACTTCTTCCAAGATCTGGAGATAATTTTTTTTTTTTTTAAGGTTCATTCACTGATTTGAGAGAGAGAGAACAAGTTGTGGGGGGAGAGGGAGAGAGAGAATCCTTAAGCAGCCTCCCCGCTGAGCTTGGAGCCCAGTGCAGGGCTATCCCAGGACCCCAAGATCACGAACTGAGCTGAAACCAATAGTTGGACGCTTAACAAACTGAGCCACCCAGGCCCCCTGCAGATAATTCTTATTATACTATAAAAAAATTCTCCTGTGGAGGTGGATTGGTATAATGAAAAGATTTATGGACCAGGACTCAATTGGTTGTTGTGACAATCAAATGAGAGAGCATGTGTGAAGACTTTCAGAACTTCCAGTCTGCGGTGCCTGGGTGGCTCAGTTTAAGCATCTGACTTTTGCTTTCATTTTAGGTCATGATCTCGGGTCTCAGGGTTATGAGATCGAGCCCCGCTTGGGGCTCTGCCTTAGGCATGGAGCCTGCTTAAGATTCTTTCTCCCTCTGCCCCTTTTTTATATAAATACATAAAAAAAGAACTATCAGTTCCTCAAAAGCAAAAGCTTTTTAAAAATTTCAGATAGGACCTTAAGGGCACATGTAGATTTTATTGCTGCTACATACTCAGGATTACCTAGAGGCAAAGGCACTTTCCTCATCAGTAATACCCTCATGGTGTGTATTACTTTAAGTAGTTTGTGAAACCTTATATCTTTATGACTTAAGAAAAATAACTGAACAGATAGAAGAATCCATTAAAGATCTCTTCAGGAATTTTTTAAATCTCTTCAAGGTTTAGGTCCTTGAAGTATCCCTTCAGGAATCTCCCAGACTCTTTTTTTTTTTAATAATTTTTTTTAAAGATTTTATTTGTCAGAGAGAGAGAGAGAGAGCACGAGAAGGGGGGGGCAGGCAGAGGGAGAAGCAGGCTCCCCGCTGAGCAAGGAGCCTGATGCAGGACTTGATCTCCGAACCCTGGGATCATGACCTGAGCCGAAGTCAGGTGCTTAACTGACTGAACCACCCAGGCATCCCTCTCCTAGACTCTAAGGATAGAGAAACTGAGGGTTGATGAAGGGAGGTGGGTGGGGGTGGGCTAGATGGGGGATGGGCGTTAAGGAGGGCACTAGTTATGATGAGCACTGGGTGTTATATGTAAGTGA